TAATTAAGGCTCTAAAACTGTGGTGGGAAAAATATGTAATTATGTAATGTAATTATGATTAAAATAATGTAATAATACTTGTTTGGCTTCAGAAGACTTTTTTTTTTTAATTAAAGGTTATTGGAGTATGTTTTTTATTTCTGGCTTTTTACTGCAAAATGTAATATTTCATTCGATGTACTTGCCGTTTCTTTGTAATTACTTACTTGCAATTTCTGAGTGAAAATGTCCTGTTCTTCATCATATGATGGCAGAATTTGGCTGAAAACCGGCAGGATCTGTATCTTTGCTTGTGTTTCATGAGAATCCTGTGACTTTCTCCGTTGGGGTGCTGACCAGAAAGACACATGGTACCCAATTACAAACAACATCTACTCTAGTACACTGACTCATGGTCATTCAGGCTGCTCAGGGTTCATTGTGTTCTTTGGTGTTACATTGTAACATTATCCAGCATTCTAGAATGTTGAGTGCAACATTGTTAACCGAAATGTAAATATGAATATGTTAATGCATTTGCATTGATAACTTTTGTTATGTTTGTGTTTGAAGAGTTTGCTGTAGACATACTCTCACATTCACAACTCGAAGCTTCCCACTCCATTCAGACCCTTTATTAAACGATCACTGATCTGTAGCTTTGCGGCGTTATACTTCTCAATAAAAAGGCAGAACTGATGTAATTTCACTGGCACACCTCCCTTTAAAATCAAAACAAGGAGTCACAATCTGTGGCCATTCTTCCAGAACGACGGTTTCGGAGAGAGAAGTTATTAATTCAAACCCGAGCCAGCAGGTACAAGGAAAGACAAGCAAATTAAACTGGGTAAATGATTGGCATGTAGATGAGATGCAGTTAAATTAATGTACATGCACATTTTTTTCAGTGCAAACACTATTTGTGATTCTTTCATAAGACCCTCGAATTATCTAATGTGATTTTTTTTTTTTTAATGAAGAGGCTCAATTTTAGAATAGAAATCTGGTAGACAAAAAAACTGGTGTAAGATTTCACAAATTGTAAAATGTAATAAAGGATAATTTCACAAATAATTACAAAGAAACACATTGAATTAAGCTTGCAATTTTGAAGTAAAAATTCTGAAATAGTATTTTCTTGTAAAAATGTACTACAATAATCAGTTTTATTTACAAATTCCAAAAAAACAAAAATTCAGTGTAAATGACTGATTTTATAACTCTGTACTATCAACTTGTTTTGTAACAATAAAAATTATGAATTAAATAAAAAAATAATTATGTATTATGTACATAAATATTCATATTGATATTTATATTGAACTTAGCATGCTTCAATTAAAATCGAAGCTCAAAACAATTTAATATTTGGTAATTTTATATTCATTTTCAAACGTTTTTTTAAAAAGAGTATACTACTGTTTGAACGAAAGAAAAAGAAGTGCATATATCTGTTTCAGCTATGAATAATTATGATTTTGTGCATATATAATCAAAACACTACCGAAATATCTACTGTGCTCTGCTGGTATAAATATATTTTGTGTGTGTGTGTTTTCAGACTCATTTTAATAGCTAAATCCACACAGAGCAGTTTGTGAGATCAGCTCAAGTTTTGCCTTCTGATCAGGAGTCTGTGTTGTTAAAAAGAGTATACTACTGTTTGAACGAAAGAAAAAGAAGTGCATATATCTGTTTCAGCTATGAATAATTAATCAGTTTGATAATGATTTTGTGCATATATAATCAAAACACTACCGCAATATCTACTGTGCTCTGCTGGTATAAATATATTTTGTGTGTGTGTGTTTTCAGACTCATTTTAATAGCTAAATCCACACAGAGCAGTTTGTGAGATCAGCTCAAGTTTTGCCTTCTGATCAGGAGTCTGTGTTGTCGTCCCTTGTGTAGTGGTTAAATTTAGGATAGAAAGAAATGTGATAAGAGTGGATCAGCTTGAAACCAGAACTCTGCCCAGGCCTGGTTAGAGAGCCGACCGGTGCGTCTCGGTGCCTTATGGACACACCATGACCCTGTAAACAATAGAAGCACAGCAAACACTGACCCAGCCCCCTCTGTGCTGCATGTGCATTGATTTTATTCTGTTGTCAGCCGTCTCAAGTATGCACGACGATGCACACACACGCATGCAAGCACACCAGCTGATCTGCCGTTATTGTTTTGCACCTGTCACAGAGGCAGCGCTGTGTGTGTGTGTGTGAGCATATTATTATCTGACATTAATATTTAATTGTTGCTTTGACTGAGAGTAAGCATTGAGGTTAAACTGTCTTGATCTGAGAGCCGTTTCTGCTTGACAGTGATGTTTGGCACATGCTTTTCAGAGAGAGAGAGAGAGAGAGAGAAGGTCTGAATGTCTTATCATATTCATCTGCTCGTGTTCAGACACAACCATCAACCCTTATGACACCCAGAAAATCGCAGATTTACTCTAAATTATACACGCGTCTAGAGGCAAACAGACGCGTATGAGACCGCAGACTCTGAAATGATTCTGGCTTATTTTTTTTGCGTCTTTGTGGATTTTGTGGTCGTCTTCTCTGAGCTTCAGAGCGTCTTCACCGGCACTTGGTGAGTTTAAGTAATGCTTTTAGTTTTTTGGGGGTGTTATTGGATGCATATCGCAAATTTAACATATAGGCAGTAGAGTAGTTGCAGACTTGAACATTTTATAGATTCTGTTGGATGTTTGAAGGCATTTGGTGAGTTTAAATAATGTTTCTTGAATGTTTTTGGATGCATATTGCACATTTTAATAACACAAGCAGTAGTTTATTTGATAACTTGCACATTTTATAGGTTCTGTTGGTTGTTTAGTTGAAAGCATTTGGTCAGTTTAAGTAATGTTTTTTTTTGCGTATCATAAATGTTCCCTTCCCAGTGTCTCCTCATTCCTGAGCGGTTTACTGAAGGAAAAAAAGAAGCTTTTGACCTTTAGTGGCTCGTTGCATTCTGGGAGAGCCCTACAGGGATCGATGAGCAGTCGTAACCGCCTGTCACGTTTGGCTAATTAGCTGCCATTGTTCTGAGGTGAGAAGGAATTCGGGTCTGTGTGGAAATCCAGCATTGTTTCCAACCCAGTGGTTCACAGCGGAGATGTTTGACACATGCAAATGAGCAGTAATGCTGCTATGCATAAATGTCAAAATGTCTCAATTAATCTGATGGTCATTCTTTGTACCTGTATGTTAAACCGTGACTTGATGTGATTTATGAATGCTGTCATTAGCATCATGTGTGCTTGTGTTGCAGACATGCATAAACTCTAATGAGGAGGAGTCGGCCAGACGCGTGCCATACGTTTGTCTCCCAGAGGACTTCAGAGATGATGTCTCAGACAAAACCACGTCCTCTAGAGCTGCCAAGAACCAATTAAAAGCCAATTAAACAAAGTGATGAAATTAAATGAATTGATGCTGTTATTTAATATGCTATTTTATCTTTTTATTAGTGGTATTTGTTAAGTGATCAGACTTATGATTTTTCACATGCTGGTTAAAATTCCACACATATTTTTCTTTTTTTTTTAGAATATATACACTACTGTTCATAAGTTTATTTTAAAACTTTTTATTCATCAGAGAATCCTGAATAATAAACGATCACTTTTAAAAAAAATATATGAAGCAGCACAACATAGATTTTCAGCATTGATAATAATCAGAAATATTTCTCAACATATTAGAATGATTTCTGAAGGATCATGTAGCACTGAAGACTGGAGTAATGATGCTGAAAATACAGCTTTGATCACAGAAATAAATTACATTATATTCATATATAAAATGGTTCTTTTAAATTGTAATAATGCTTGTATTTTTGGTCAAATAAATGCAGCCTTGGTGAGCAGAAGAGACTTCTTTCAAAAACCTTAAAAAATCTTAATATATTTCACTTCCTGTACCTGGTGTAATAGGTCTCCTTCATTGGCTTTATGCTAATAAACTGAATAATTTATGAAGCTGACAGTGTGCTGCAGTTTTAATCTGTTTTGTAAAATCATCCTGTTGCGCTCAGATCTGTTCCAATAAAAATGATATGAGGGGAAATTAAAAAATAGCCCTGTAAAATATCACCAATGCTTTATTTAGCACAGTTTTTCCTCTTCGGTTTCTCTGTATTAGGGTCTCTATTAATCTATTTTTCCCTAATGAAATGCTCGTCCAGTCGTGCTGGTGATTGTGGGCAATATTCCTGTCATTAATGAGATCAGATTCTCCTGTTCTCTCTGGATTCCTGAACGTGTTCTATTCGTTCTCCGGGGTTCCGCTGTTACCAAGACGACGGGATCCCCCACCAAGCTGGCGGAAACCGCTCTGTCCTTCAGAGGAGGCTAATTGAGTGCGAGTTTTTGGGAGTCTTATTGATTCGCTATTTGGGAGTCATGTTGAATTGTTTTTTTGGGGAGTCGTGTCAGATCGTTCTTGTGAGTGGGGTTGAATTGCTCTTTGGGAGTCAGATTTGAATAGCTCCTGGGAGTCGGATTCGAATCTGTAGAGCCAAATGAGTTAGCAAAGCAGACTGAATCATTCTGATTGTTGATGCACTGCATCATTTGAAGTGGATGAAATGCACTCAGACTACTAAAACTAGTTTCCCACATTGCATTGCACTGAACTTGACCTTCCATTTGACATTCCAATGTGATGAATGAACCAGAAGTAATATTACCATCTCTTGTATTATTTCTTGCTAGACTTGTTATTTGATCAGCCTGAAAAAAAAAAATTTAAACACAAAATTGCATTTAAATAACAAAATAACCATATTTCTAAGATAACTAGTCACCACAATGAATTCATGTGACAATGTAGCATTCTATTGTTTGAAAGAGTTGCATACTGTTTTATGTGCAATACCATAAAGAATAGCATGCAGTGTGAAGTACATACTGTGCAGCAAGCAGTATGTTAGGATTGTATTCTGAGCCTTTGTGTGTGCTCACACAAGTTCAAATATCTCCCCCTCCTAATGTGAAAGTCCTTGTGTCCTCTCCACAGATCCGTGAAGAGCTCTCTGCTCCATCTTCAGCTGCCTGAGACGTGAACCCCAGAAAGACTCTTAATGAATCAGTTTTCGCCGCTCGATGCCATGGCGTTCAAGTGAGTAGTTGTTTTCCGCATCTATATGTTGAATGTCTCCTCTGTTGTCCTGCTGCTTCTGCTGTATGATCTCAGTCCCTATCATTAGGTTAGCAGGGATGCTGGGTTACGTGACTTACGTCTTCAGTCAAACGCATGGAAAGCTCAGGCATATAAAGGGTCTTTTCTCCGAGGGCCCCTCGGAGACGTTTGGCATTTGCATGGAAGCTGATTTGCATTCCATCTTGGCAGAGTCGAGGCTTCTGACGCTGGATGCTTGTTGGCTGCTCTCTTGTTTTTCTGTTTGGCCCGAATTCCTGTTTTCTTTCTTTATTTCTCTCTTTCTTGCCTTTGCCAGTTAGAAGACAATAAGGAATGGAAAAGATGACTGTCTTCAGGAGGTATTGGTCAGATGAGGGTGATTTGAAAGAGTCTGACAGACAACGCTCTTCACACTCTGGGCTGAAATGTGTCAGAAACACAATTCATAATGCAATGCAAATATGAGTTTGGCTTGTTTCCACACACAGTGGAGTCAAGTAAGGCTGCATGATATCGGGAAAAAATTACTTTTTTGTGTTCATTTGTTATTGATTAATTTATTATTAATAATATTTATTAAAGGGGTCATATAATGCGATTTCAAGCTTTCCTTTCTCTTTGGAGTGTTACAAGCTGATTGTGCATAGATAAGATCCCTGAAGTTGCAAAGACTAAAGTCTCAAAACCAAAGAGCTATTCTTTATAAAAGTTAAGACTCTGCCACGCCCCCCTAAAACGGCTCGTTCTAACACGCCCCCACATATCTACCTCACTATGTGGAAATATTTGCGTAATGCCACCCAAATGTGCACGCAAAGAAAGAAGGCGTGGTTTCAGTAACCGCAGTTAGTGTTGAAGCAGCATGTCAGGGAGGCGCTGTGTGTTTCTAGGAGAAAGCAAAAGCACTTTATTTGGCCTTCCGGAAGTAGATGCATTTAGGAATCTTTAAGATTACTTACAACAGAACAGCAATGCATTTTATGGACGACCGTTTCGTGAACCTAGGAGAGGAGATAATTCTGACTTTGCTATGACAATCTGGCGCTTCTGAATTAGCTACTGTTTTGTTATTAGTTCAAGTATTTGCTATTGACTGTTCAAATGCGGAGTTTTGCGCATCGTGTGTGTGTGTGTGTGTGTGTGAGCGCGTGAGCGCGCACGTCTGTGTGAGAGAGAGAGACAGGATCACATCACAGTGGAGTCAGCTGTGTTAACCGCGGCTTGTGTACTGCATCATTACTGTGTCAGTCACGCGACTCTGTTCCCCTTTCGGGCTAAAACTAATGACATTATTTACTGTCTTTACATTTATTTTGAAAGATGAAGCTCGCGATTATGGTAAGGGGCGTTACATTTCCGACGAGTGCTTGCGGTGTTCGGCCAATCACAATGCACTGGGTCAGCTGGCCAATCAGAGCAGACTGCGCTTGTCGGAAGGAGGGACTTTGTAGAAAACGAAGCGTTTGAGAGAGGCGGGGCATAGAGGACCTACAATAATGTACAGTATTTGAAAAATAATGTGTTTTTTGAACATTAAAGCATGTCAACATATTCTGTTACACCAAATACACAAAATAATGATCTTTAAAAAAAGCATCATTTGACCCCTTTAATATGCGATTTGTTTGCATACAGTAATTTTCACCAGATTTAAAATAATTTAAAAATAATAATTAATAATTTTAAAATATTGTATTTTTAAAATTTTTTTTAAATAAAAATATTACATAAAATACAAAATATGCTGCAAGAATACTATTCTATTTTACTATTGAAAATTGTATACAATTTGTATTGTGTATAGAAATTAAAAATATTTAATAAAATATATATTTTATAGTACTATTGTAAAATTCTTTTTTTTGTACTTTAAACCCTCACAATAAATAAAACCAAGATGCTTTAAGCAACTGAAACAACGTATGAGCTGCTCGTGAGTAAGTGAACACAATTTATTGCATTAAGCCATATCATGATAACGTTTTTATTGTGATATATCATGCAGCCCTCAGATCAAGCGTTAACGTCTGCCTTTGTGTACTTGTGTTGAGTGTAGGGTTGTGCAATTAATCGCATGCGATTGTCAAGCACATCTATATTATTATATTAAGCGATATTGCCTAGCTTGTCAGTGAACTACGGCTCTGTGTAGTAAATGCCGCTCCATCTGAAAGCAGGTGATAGAAATTTACTACTAATCACAGAACCGGCTTTACTTACGAGATGCGCATGACAATCACATTCGATTAACTGCACAGCCCTAGTTGAGTGTTTACGGCCTAAAATTTCTCTTCATGATTATCAGAATGCTTATAGTCCTGTGGTTTGTTTTGCTTTTAATACAAAGGCATTGGAAAACTTTGATTTAAATAATCAAGGAAACTGATGAATATTTAATGTCCATGAAAATAATGTGATGCATCATTTGGATTTGGAGCGAAGTGCTTCTCAGACATGCTGGTTTTGGTCTCTCTCATAAAAGTGCAGAGTGGCTCTGGATGTCAGACTTTCACAGCAAAGGAAGTTGTCAGTCTCAGTTAGTGATTGAAGGCTGTCAGCTGTCTCTCTATAGCACGCACACAAACTACGGTTTCCATTCTGTGGAAAGTGTTACAGCGACTCTTGGAAATTTGGACAGATAGCTGAAACATCACATCATTTAGTGCATTTTCCCTGGTTTTTAGGCGAATAAGCAAATAGTTCATAACCATTATTTTCTAATGGTGTCAGCAGTCCTGAATCTGAGTTTTGCTGTCTGTTTTAGATGGTGTCTCAGTTTGCGTGTAAGATAATCTTGAGGAAACATTACTTAGAAACTAGATCTTTAGTTGGCAGAACTTCATGTTTATTCAATAAAGGAAAGTATGTTATGCTGTATTGTGAATGTAGTCATGAAAAGGCATGAAGAACAGCGTGCAGTGAACTATGTTGACAATATAGCACCAGTCTCCATCTCCTTATTGCTATTATAAAAGTTTACAAAAAAAATATTGAGACAACAAATTTCCAATAAAAACATATATTTTATTATTATTATTTTATTATTTGATTGTTTTATTTATTATTATTATTATTGTTGTTGTTAGATTAGATCAACTTTATTATTATTAATTTTTAAATATTTTGAATTTATGAATATGGAATTTGTCTATATATTTTTTTATTTATTTTTAAGTTTTAGTATTTATTTAAATATTTTATACCATTTATTTTATTTGAAGAAACAAAAATATTTATTTTATGGTTTTAGTTTAGTTAGATATATCAACCCTGTGAAATTTATATAATAATTATTAAAATGGATAAAAAATATTAATAGCATTATTAATGTTATTAATATTATTCATCTTTTATCAGTATTAACATCATGATTTTGTATAATTATTAACTACAATAATTTTTTATAATATATAATTTTTTAAGCAAATGTAGCTTTTTATTTGAACAGTTTCTGATTTTACAATGAAAACCATTGAGATGTCAAAACTCTGAATGATGAAGTTTTATCATGTCTTTAAATGATCAACATCCGCAGAAGTGAAATCATCCTCAAGACTTCTGGAAGTGACGAGCTTGTTCATGAGTTGTCGAAAAAGATCAAAGGTAACCTAGCAACCGGCTCGGGCGTCTGATCGGAGGCCCCCGATCCAGCCGTCCTTTGTATCGCCTGCGCTGCGGTTTTGCAGCACAATTGTTTGTGTGGAGGAATGATGAATGTGCTGCCAAAAAGACGTGAAGAAAACACAGAGTGCGAGAATGAGAGATGCTCGCTGTCATCGGGTCCGGAACAAAGACGCTACACAAAACTACTTGAGATTCATGTCTGTCTGAATGCATGCCTGTCTTCCTCCCATTCTCTCTCTCTCTCTCTCTCTCTCTCTCGTTCTCTCTGTCTTGTGTGTGAGTTAATACTGACAGAGATTTTTTGGAGGACTGAAGTGACGACTGCTTCATTTTCTTCTATTCGTACTAGTTTAGACAGTTCAGTTATTGAACGTAAGGAGGATCGTTTGGTTAGTTCCTAACCTGTGTGACTGACTTTCTTCAGTAGAGCACAAAAGCTCAATTTCCAAGTTGAACTTCTCCAAAATAAATGTGGTGTAGCAACTGTGCTGTCAAGATACTAAATGACAGGAAAGTAAGATACATGTATAACATGACAAATTGTTAAAACTTGTTACAGGTCTTCTGAAGTTATAGATTTGTGTGAGGAACAATCAAAAATACTTTTTTTTTAATACTTTAACACTTATACACTCTAAAAAATGCTGGGTTGTTTCAACCCAACTTTGGGTCAAATATGGACTAACCCAGCTGTTGGGTTAAATTTTTAAATTAAATTTTTAACCCAACAGTTGGGTTAGTCCATATTTGACCCAAAGCTGGGTTGAAACAACCCAGCATTTTTTAAAGTGTATAATGTCTTCATGGTGTGCACCATGAAAAAGTAAAATAATGCATGTTAGAAAAAAAGAAAAAGAAACCCAGATACTAGTCAGCACACACTTATGTCTGCCTGGATTTGACAAGACTGTTAAATGCAGAAAATGATTTACGTTCAAGTAAACATTCTGTGAAACAAGTGTCTTTTCCTTTTCTAAAAGGTGATTTTTAGAGGATTTTTAGGGACAACTTTAAGTGTTATATTGCATTGTGCTATCTCAATAAATAATTATTTTAATTAAATAATTAAATGTTACTAATAAATGTATAAATAATAAATGAATAAATTAAAATTGCATCTAAAACAATTACAATTGTTTAAATGATGAATTAATTTTTAAGTAATATTTAAATGAATATTTTTTATAATATTAATATTGAATTAATGCCAAAATAAATGAATAATTTTCACACATTAATAAAAAAATTATTGTATTGTGCCATCTCAAAAAAAAAAATACTGTAAAATGAATCCATATGAATTGAATGCCACAAATGAATAAAAATGTAATTGCATTTTGCATCTCATCTCAATC